TTTCTCCTTCAAGGTTGCTGCATGGGCCGAGATGGCTGATAGGGCTCCAACCACCATCTGTAGGATCCAGACCACAGGGGGAAGAGGGAAAATAAGAGCAAAAGGGCTTCTTTCCAAACAGAAGTTCCACCCAAGACTTCTCCTGCCTCTAGCTGCAAGGGAGGCTGGGAAATGTAGTCTTTTATTTTAGTTGGTTATAATACATGAAAGAATAAAGTCAGTTCTCAGGTTGGTGGCAAAGGAGTACATCAACCCATGTGTGGAGAAGCAAAAGGTAGGCCTAGCAAAGTTCAGGTCACTGTCCCCTTCTCTAGATTTTTATAGCCACCATTCCCCACTCCTTAAACAATTGGGAAGCTCCTACTGTAAATAATATTAATAATAACAATGCCTATAATTTATTGAATACTTTGTGCCAGAAACTGTGCTAAGCACCTTGCAGACATAATCTCATTTTATGTTCACTAAAGCCCAATGAAAGAGGTCATCTACTTATTCCCACTTTAAGATAAGGAAACCGAGGCTCAGAGCAGTTAATTAACTGTCCCAAGTAGGTGGCAGAGAACTGGGATTCAAATGCAGTTTTGCCCAACCCAAGAGCTTTCATCTTAAACCCTCCCTCCATCCCCCAGGATTCCAGCTCATGTTCCATCTCTCCAAGAAGCAGATGGTGCAGGGCCTCTGCATGTGTGATTTTAAAACACTGATTAGTTGTCTCCCATATGCACCCTGACTGGGCCGGGGATCGAACCTGCAACCCAGGTTCCTGCAACTCAGGTATGTACGTGCCTTGACCAGGAATTGAATCTACAACCTTTCGGCCCATGGGCCGACACTCTAACCACTGAGCCACACCAGCCAGGGCTCTTTTTTCTTTTAAATAACAGCTTTATTAAGATAGAATTCACATTCCATAAAATTCACCAACCTAAAGTATAAATTGAGTGTTTTTTAAATATTCATAGAATTGTGCAACCATCACCACTATCTAATTTCAAAGCATTTTCATCACCTCAAAAGGAAACCCTGAACACATTAAGGAATCTCTCCCCATTCCCCACCTTCCCCCAGCCTAAGCAACCACCAATCTGCTTTCTGTCTCTAAGGATTTATCTATTCTGGACATTTCATATAAATGGAATCATAGTATTTGGTCTTTTGTGACCAGCTTTTTTCACTTAATCTAGTGTTTTCAAGATTCATACAAGTGTAGCATGTATCAGTCTTTTATTTTTTTATTGCCAAATAATCTTGGTCCTATTTTTGCCTCCTTTCTGTATGTCTAAAATGAATTAAAAATAAAACATGTAAACATACGCTTTGACCCCAAATATCACTCTAAGAAATATAATTTACAGAAACAAGAGTACAATATGTAAGGATATATGTACAATGTTTATGTTAACAGCCTGAAGTAGCAGAAAAAGGGAAGGATCCAGATCTTTATGTTTCAATAATAAAATACTAAATAAATGTAATAAACATATGATTTGCTTATTACAAAATGAATATATGCTCATTGCGTAAATATATGTCTTAGTTTACCTATTTCTAATAGGTTGGCAGAACCTTCCTTAAGTGAGATAATACATGTAAAATATCAGTATAGTACATAATACATACTAAGTACTCAACACAGGTTACTATAATAACAAAATAGTGATTCATATAAGAAAACTTTTAAGTTTCCCAAAATAATCACCAAAGCACATGACTCTAAAGCTATTCCTATTAATATTTTAGTATATTTCCTAGGTTTCTGTATTTATTTTTGGTTTCAAAATCTTCTGTTACATAGTTGTAACCATATTGAATATTCATTTAGCAGCACTCTTAAACTTTTCCCTTATTACATACTGCTTGTGTATTTATTATAAAAACATTAATATTATTATATTAATTATAATATATAATAGTATATCAGAAGAATATAAGATCACTTACTTAACTACTTCCCTGTTGTTGGACATATTGGTCACTTCCATGTTCTCATTTTTATAAGTAATGCTGCAATGGACATCTTTATACATAAATTTTTTTTCATGTTTAGGGTTATTTCCTCATATCTGACCCTAATAATGGTATAACTGAAGGGAAGGGGGTTAAGATTTTTAACTTAAGCTGTCTCTGTGTCTTTATCTATGCTGTTCCCTTTGCCTAAAATGTCCTTCCCTTCACTTCGTCTCTGTGTCCAGATCCTGTGTTCTTCAAAGTCCACTTAAGTTACTCCTGCCATGAAGCTAGCTTTCCCAATCCCTAAAGTGAGAAATAAGTTTTTCTCTCTATATATTACATAGTGTACTTGCCATTCCTATAGCTTGTAATACTAATAATAGCTAGGTTGGATTGGATTCTTACCCTGTGAGAGGCATCATTTCAACTCTACAACAACCCTAGGAAGGAGATCCCATTTATGACTCCCATTTTACAAATGGGCAAACCGAGGCTCAGAGAGTTGACCCACTTAGTTGGTCAATCAGTATTTATTGGCACCTTACCAGGAGCTGTGGGAGATACGACGAGGAAATGAGGCTCAGAAAAATTAAGTGACCAGCCCAAGGTCATACCACCGATAAGTGATAGAATTTATACTCAAACCCAAATAAGAAAATGTGGTCAGATAAAGAAGCTGATTGAGCCCTGGCTGGGTGGCTCAGTTGGTTCATAGCACATCAATTCCTGGTCAGGGCACATACCTAGCTGTGGGTTTGATCCCCAGTCGGGGCATGTACAGGAGGCAACTGATGGATATTTCTCTCTCTCTCTCCCTCTCTCTCTAAAAAAAAACAATTAAAAAAAACATTTAAAAAAAAAGAAGCTGACTTATAGTTGAGGGGAAGGGATGTGCAGAAATGTAAAAGGGTACAGAAAGAGAAGTAAGTAGTGGGATGGAAGGAGTGTGGGGTTTGATCTTGGCTCTGCCAACTATCAATTGTGTGATCTTGCACAAGTTATTTTACCTCGCTTTTCCTTATATGGCAACAGAACGGGGCTTACCTCATGGGGTGAAGATTAAATGAATTAAAACAAATGAAATGCGAGAGTAGTAGCTGGCACACAGTAATGTTCACTGAGTGCCTGTATTATGGACCTGAGTAAGCATCACAGAAGAGGTCAGTTCCAGGCTGGCTGTGGGAAATGGGTAGGATTTCAGCAGAACTCTAGGCAAAGGGCAGGGCGATAAAAGACATAGAGGTAAAAGAAACAGGGTGATTTATCTGGAATATAGGGGATAGATGTGCTAGAAAGGGCACTTTCGGAAAACCTGGAATTAAGTTAGATTCTACCACTGTGTGGTCAACTTCGTCATGCACGAACAGGTAACCCCAACATCTCAGCGGCCCACCACGGCAACGGGTATGTCTCACTCACATGACACGTCCACAGTGGGCCAGTTCTAACTGTGCTGCGTGTCCAGGACTCGGGACCCAGGCTGATGTCCACATTGGCCAAAGCATGTCCATGCCAAAGCCTCACATGAACAGGGCAGGAAAGTGTAGCCTACCCCTAGGGAGGGACAGAAAATATCGTAAATGATAACATACCATCTACCGCAGCCACAGTCTACTGCAGGAGTAGTGGCTTTGGGCAGGTCCTTTTACCTTTCTGGGCCCATGCCCTCATCTCCAAAAATGGTTACTGAGAAGAGTCAAAGAAATATGGAATGTGGAAGCATTTTATAAATTATAAAGTACTAGGCAGCTGAAAGTATTATTACTGC